CCCGTTGTTTTTCAAACCATGTCTATGCCTATTTGCCAACGCTCAGACCAATGAGCGCAACTGACTGTGACGTAGTAAGTGCGACAGAAAGCTGGTATAGTATAAAGTATAATATTCTTGTCTCAAATGGTCTTAAAACGTGCTTTTATTGAACAACAGCAACAGAAAAGAGAACTTTTAACTTTCAATGGAGTGCTCCATTGAAAGCTGCTGCTGTTGCCATCTTCCTTGTTGTGCTTTCCTTTTGTTGTGATTGGCCCACCAGTTCTAGGGCCTGGGGCATTGATCGAGGCTAGAACACTCGCAGGCAAAAATTATTTTGACCGCTGGCGGGTGATGCTAGTTTACTAGGCTAACTCATAGGTTGTTAATTGTGATTTTCAGTCTATACCTGGTTGACGTTTCAAGATTTTAAAATTCTCAGGTGATTTTTAAAACCAAACAAACACAAAAACACACGAAAATAAAAAATATATATAAATAGGCTGTAGCTTTAACAGATTTCTCTCAGGAAAGTCTTGTGAAAACTCTTGAGATCCGATGTGGTTTCAGAATATATCATGGCCAACAAGAAGCAATGAGAGAGTTTGTCGACTGATTTAACAAAGAAAAAGTGTTAAAAAAAAATGAAAAGCAGTTTGTTAAAGCAACACAGTGTAACTTCCTAAACAACTATTAGCTTCGATTTATATTTAAGGTTTTTCAGGTCAATATTTAGCACATTGTGAGTCTCAACACTCGATGCAGGCTGCTCTTTTTAAAAACTCACCTATGTAATAGAAGAGAGTCAGATTCATCCGTGAATGAGCCATGTGACCCAGAGCGCTACTTTACAGCAGTCTGAGCTCATCTTAAACACAAGAACCAACTTTTTTTTTTTTGTATAAAGCAACAAACAGATGTGACCCTAACCTGATCAGACACATTTTTGCTTTTCTGATATTTAATCTAGAGGATTAAATGTTTCCTTGGATCTAACAGGAACTCCCTGACTTCTCAATCTGCTGCTCCAGATTGGCCCGTTATCAGATTTCAAAACACCAGGGGAAAACACCTGCCGCTCACCCTTTCCTTTTAAAAAGTGTAGTGTGGGACTGAGCAACAAATCTGAGATCAGATCTAAAAGAATCGACTCTATTGAGTCGAATCTTGAAATTTTAATCCATACTAAGCCCTACTGCAGTGTCACTAGTTGCTTTTAGCGGCACCAAACCCGGAAGTTACAGGTCTAGTGCCCCTAGTGGCCGAAAGAGGAGTGAGGACGGCATGAATTGAGGCTCTACTTGCAAAACATTTTGTTGTGCGTCTTTCTACGGAAAACACTGAGATTCGCTGCACGTCACTTTCAGTGTAACTGGAGTCGAGGCGTGGTAGAAATTAACTTAATAAATGATCAATTTTGAGGGGTAATTAAAAAAAAATACATTAAACAAGGGCAGAAACAATTAATGGAATTAATCGATTATTGAAATAATCGTCAAATACATTAGTATCGATTAATCGTTAAATGGAGTATAGATGCTATAAAACATGCCTTTAGTTGAAAGAGCAACCAATCCTTGAGCAGCAATTATACCAAAATTGTAAAAAGATAGACATTTTTGATTCAAGATAAAAAAAGAGCTATTTCGTCTGTCAAAATCCTACATCCAGACCTCCTGAAGAGGAAAAGTTAAGTTTCACCCGATTTAATTTCGTAAAAAGGTTATCTTTAAGGAACCTTTTGCCATTGGATTATTAAACAATTAATCGATAAAAAATTATTGACAGATGAATCGACTTGCTAAATAATCATTAGTTGCAGCCCTACATTAAACATTCTTAATTCCTTTAAATCGAAAATATTAACATTTTAAAAGAGTTTGTCTTGTGATTTAAAGGATATTTTAGTTCCAGTCATCGCAATATACTTTACTGCAGATGACTTTTCTTTTTTCAACTGACAAAAAGACTGGACATGGGGTGTGTGCGAAAACTAGTTTATGTCAAGTTGAAATCCAAGGGAAACTCAAATGATTTTAGGGGAAAGAAAAGAAAAAAAAGGTTTTGGTCTATATCTTTTCCAGAGGTGCCAATGGATGTTAACCTGACTCCGCCAGATGGATTTGCTCTGCATATCCATCTGGAAACCTTCCGTTGAAGTAATTTTGGGAAGGGGCGAAAATACTGGTTAGCTGATTGGCCTATGTTGGTGATAGACGGGCCAAATAAACCAATCAGATCAAAGAAGCATATGACGTAATAACAGAGCGACGACGAAAACACAACCACAAGCCATGCTACTCTTGCCGAAACCAGTCGGGAGAAGAGCAAAACATCCTTTCCTCTGAGAAAAGCCTCCAGAGCAGTGTTTTGCTCTTCTTTCAGTGAAGAAATACTCTGTAATTCCGATAAAACTTGCTCGATAGCCACGCTAACGCTAGTTTCATCGGCTGAAGCCGCCATGTTCTTTAGACTGAACTGTCGCGCTTCTTGTTGCGTCACACCTCAACCCGCCTCAAAGCCAACGCTGATTGGACGTTCGTTTGGTGAACTGCTCCAAATTTTCTTTCACGGAGAGTCTCCAGACTGATCTGCGAGTGAAACCTTGAAAGCTCGCGAGATCAGGATGGTCTCACGAGGCTAAATGGATGTGGCCGCCAATCCAAATACTCAGCAATTGCTGAATATTGTTTCAGCCCTAATTAACATTACATTATTTCTACCTGCAGAAGTGAACTGATGGGCAGAGGTTGGTGGCATGGCTCTGGATAGAGTAAAAAGCAAGGAGTTTGGGACAAAACAGCAACATGTGAGGAAAAAGTTGTGGTATGAAGTTGGAGAAAACAGTGTAAGCATAAACTTTGGTTCTATACTTTGGTAATTCGGACAGAGACTCTATTCGCCTTTTTTCAGCCTGAAGCTTAATGGTCCAGGTATGCATTGTCCATGCGTTCATTCGTCACTAAGCCATGCTAATTCAGCAATTCAGAGGACACAATTAACATATAATATGACAGTAAACATTTAAACTGTTACTATGATTAAAAAATAATGAATGTCTGTTTCCATGCTAATCACCCCTAAATGATTTGGCCTCCCTCCTTCAACCACAGTAAAAAAGAAGTTATAGAATTATTATAAAACCATTAGGAAAAGAGTCTCTGAAGAAACTGTTCCCAGAAACAGATGGAAACTAAACTTTGGCTCAACAAGCCATTTAGAAACTTGGAGGTTATGACAGAGCTGCTCTGTGTGCAGGAACCACCAAGTGGGACTCGAAGAGTTCAACGGATCAAACACGGAGCCACAACTTTATTTCTGGCCCCCGGAGCATGGATTCGTTTCTAACACCCTGGTGGGATAAAAATACTGCAAGTGTGTTGAGCTGAAATTGTGAAAAATTTGGTTTATTATGCGGAAAATCTTTTCCAATGTGTCGCAAATCATTAAAAAATATAAAACATCAGCTTACATTCCACAGAAAAACAATATAAATGGGTATTAGATGTTCAAATCAACAAGAATAAATACAATGGCGTAACAACACAACAATAGGCCCGAAAGCAACATCATCTGGGTGGGCCCCATATGAAGTACATCACTCTGGAAGTCCAAATCATAGTGTAAAAAAATAAAATACCCAAATACATCATTCTTTTAAGATCTTTAATGCGGTTTGAAACATATTATATGAGCGTATTTTTTATACCAACCGTCTGATAAACTAAACACGGTTATTAACACAGTAATTAAAAGTACCACTGTCTGCTTTGCTATTGGTGTGGTATTTAAACGGCTCACTATCATGTTGTAATATGGCATCTGTTGGGGTATAAATACGATCCAGTCAGTCATATTAAAATCAGGTGGTTTTAAGAGGAAATTTTTGCACCATTACGTATGCAATCAGACGTCATAGTCAAAAATTGCGAAGGGGGCCCACCAGGTGTCAGTGACGGGGCCCCTAAGAGGTCAGGGGCCGTAAGCAACTGCAGTCTCTGCTTACTGATAGTTAAGCCATTAAATAAATACATTTAAAAAAAAGTTAAGCTTTGGCATCAGTCAGATAGGGGTTGATCTCAAGAGAATTTGAGTAAAAACACATTAATAAGGAAAACCTACGTAAAACACAACATGACCTGAGTGAAATCTGATCAGCACAATTATGTGATGTTAGAGCCTTAAAACTTTTATTTTTTTAAAAGACAAGTTTTATCCCACATAAAGGTTTTACAACCAAATAAAAAAAAATTGGAAAAACTGAAATTTTATCCTAAAATTAAGATGGGTTTAAATATTTTAAAAGGCAAAGCAATATGTATAATATAGTTGTTTTTTTATTAGTGTAAAATGATTGCAAAGCATTCATTGCATAGAAAGCAACAGATCAAGCTGCAGATCTGTGCTGAAATCTGCTGACATGCTGTCTAGATTTTTTTCAGGAGAGTCTCAAGAATATATTTTAAAGAAAATGGATTGTTTGATTTAGTAATAGTTCATAGATGATATGTTTTCTAAGAGCAAACGGCTGCTTGCTGCGGCGCCTTGATTGAGAGCCATTCCAGCCATGATAGCAGCAGGGCCAGGCTTTCACTGCGGCGGCAGACAAAACACCAACACAGCCAGGCTAAACAACAAGCCTCATCATCTTTATTTTTTATCCTCTGCTCTCTAAAATGTTCCCATGAAACAGTCTTGTAGTAAAACCAGGATGTTGTAAAAAATTTTGTTGGGGGAAAAAAAAGGGAAGAAATGTAAAAGGTGCATCTAATTTCTCCTCCAAAGTTTTGAATTAAAGGGGGGCGTGTGACTCTTTTCTCCAAGAAACTACAAGCTTCACTGAAAACTATTTTCTCTGCGAACATTTCCAGCGCCCCCGAAATGTTCTCCCAAGGCCTAAATATGATGCAGGAAAATAAAGGTCGGTGGGAAGACAAATGTGTATATTCCAGGTTAGTTTTTTCTTCCACTGGAAGTCCCTCTAAAAAAGTGCGTTTATTTCCCTTTAAATGTGGGAAATTATGGTGACAGGCGCGGGTCTTTGCGAACCGTTTCGAAGCAAAGAGCGCCATACGTGCGGAGTCCGTGTTGAAAGCGAGCAGCTCGGTGTGTAGCGCCCCAGCAGCACGGCCTGGACCCACACCAGGCCACGGAGCACCGGGGACACGGACCGGCCGCGGAGACACGGCTCGCTTCTTACCTGCTGGGTTTATCTTATGGCGCTGAGCGGGTATAAAAGGTGGGGGAATGTTCCGGACAACGGCGGCGGTGCTTTCCGTCCTTCAGAAGTGATTGTGTGCTTTTCTCGCTAGCATTAAGCTAGCAGCAGCGAAGCGCAGCACCACTTCCGCGTTTGCCTTTCAGAATAAAAGTCTGGGTAAATAAGAAGAGCTGTCACAAGCATACTATTGGCAAATGTTATTTCTGTGCAAAATATGAAACAATAGAACATATTATACTGGAATGTCATAAATATGAAAGCGAGACGAGATATATACGGAAAAGGATTAGGGCCAATGACAAAAATAAAAAAAAGTTAACTGATTTTTAAATTTTATTTCAGTTTAATATGGAAAAAAGTCAGAATTCTGATTTTAATCCCAGAATTCTGACTTTAATCTCAGCATTCTGACATTTTTTCTCAGAATTCTGACTTTTTCTGATATTAAACTGAAATAAAGTTAAAAGATCAGTTAACATTTCTTTATTTTTGTCATTGGCCCTAATCCTCTGCTGTAGAATTCTGAGAACAAAGGTCAGAATTCTCAGAAAAAAAATTAGAATTCGGAGAAAAAAAAAATCAGAATTCTGACCTTTTCCCGTATTAAACTGAATTTAATTTTAAAATCAGTTAAATTCTTTTTCTTTTTTTCAGTGGACCTAATCATCTTCCATAGATATGAGGAGAGAGTTTTAATGTATTAAGGAAAAGATAAATTTATTAGATATTTTGAGGAAGAATTTGGGGAGTAAACATACAAATAGTTATTCGATTTTTTTAAGAGAACTAAATTATTCCATAGAATTTGATTTTAGAGAGGATGAATGTGTCTATGATATAGATGGGTCGAAAACGAAGTTCTGTATAAGTATGTATAAGAATTTATATATATGTTTATTAGTAGATAGTCCATCATGAACCACACTTATACCAGTAAGTGGCGGTATGCTACTAAATGTTTGTTGCCAGCTGCCAATATATCCAACAACAATAAGAAGAGGAAAATCTCTCACAAATATCTCATTCTGGAAAACAACAGTTTGGAGGATATTCGTTTAAGCTGTTTGACATATTAATATTATATTATATTTCTATTAATATTATACAGTATTTAATATAATATTTTTCAGGTCAGGACAAATATTAAAAAAAGTGAAAACAAAAGTATGTTTAAAAGTTCATCTTCAGCTTCCTTAGGTTATTTGGTCTGGTAGGGCTTCAAGTCTCACAACCAATGCATAAAGCTACAAATAAACAGCAGGTATAATAATAATTTGTTGAGAGAAAGGGAAGGTATAATTACAGAGATAATCTAAATTTCAAAACCTTACATTCTCAAGCAAACATGAACAAAAAATGTGCATTTCAATAAATGTTGTGAAAGTATGTAGTAAACTGTTAAATTAAAGGGATGTCCAAACATGAGACTGTTTAGAAAAAGGTTCAAACTGGTTTACCTTCAAAAGAAATTCGATGGAAGAAGGGCAGAGAGCATCAATGGGTTCACTTAGTCATTGAAGTTGGGTATACTCATATTTATCTTATTGGCTATCAGTAATAATTATAAATGAAGATGCATGTGTGTTTGTTTATATGTACTTAAACTTATTTGCTCACGCAATGTATTTTTGTAGCAGCATAGTTTAGTAAGCAAAATAGGAAAATTGGAATATTGCTGGTTGTGTCGAATATATAAAGGTGAAGGGATGTAATTAAATATGTTTTACTACATATCCTTTTTTGGACATAATCACCAAACTATGCTTATAACAATTACATATGTCATTATAATATCTCCATGTTAGATTTTCCATATATAATATACCAGTCAAGTTCGTGTTTACATCACACCTTTATCTTTCATTTGCGTCTTTTCACTTTCATTGTTTCCATTCTACACATCAGCATAGATTTTTATCCAACTGACACATTTCCAAATTAAATAATATGCTAAACTTTGCAGTAAGGCAGCTGGATTTTAAACGTTTACAAAGAAAATCCATCTGTAAAGTATATGCATGCTTGTGTAAGACATTCAAAAGCTTGTATGGCAAGTAAGGAGCATACAGAATTTGAAAAAGCCAGTCTGAGTTGAGATGCCAGGTAAGTGGGAAACTAACCTCCCCTAAAAACTGGATGCCAGTTTGTGCTGCATTGTGATTCTGCACAATTTATTTACGCAGTTTGCAGGGAATATTTTCTACTCAAAGGGACACAATGCTTTCAGCAAGCAACAAAAACCTACAAAGTTTATTTTGGAAATGGCAATTTTGAAATAGAGTGTCGATTAATAAAGTTTTTTGTTTGTTTTTTTAGTTTTAACTGTACTAGTGCGTCGTTTTTCTGACAGTAGGCTGGCAGGAAAGGGGATGAGAGGGGGAGAGACATGCAGCAAAGGACCACAGGTCGGATTCAAACCTGGGTCGGCCGCGTCAAGGACTAAGGCCTCCATACATGGGTCGTACGCACTAACCTCTGCACCACCTGCATGATCAATAAAGTATATTTGAAATGAATCAAATGACCTTGAGTCTTCACTGTGTCAACTTTCAGTCAAAATTAAAATGTTCTCTCTTGCTTCATCATGTCAAACACAGACCTTTTTCTTCAGACTAAATAAAGCAAGTGTTTGAGATTTCCGTGTCCACTTTTGTTGATTCATTTATTTTTTTACTCATGTAAATATTAAATATTTAATGAAATTCAGCTTCCAATCTTTAAAAGCAGAAAAGGAGGCATATCTTTCAAGAATAAGTCTCCTGTCGTGTGGAACAAGCACATCTCTGTCCTAGAGGCAGTCAAACTTTCATTTTATTAGGAGGCTTAAAGTTAAAATGCTTGTTGTGAAATATATAAATACATGGTATTAAATCTCAATTACTTAGCTTACAAGTCAGAACTTATTTCTTGCATCATCTAAAGTCAATATTATCTAATGCAACTTTCAGCTCACTGAAACCATTTTTTACAGTTACCATTTTTGTCATGTAAAGAAATTCAAGAAATTACTTCTTTGTCATTCAAATTTTAAAATTTTGCTTGCTGCCACTTACTCTTCTTGGCCTCTTTTTCTGACACCGTCATCCAACAATTTGAACCTTTCCTGCATCTATGATTTCCTCATTATGACCTTTATTGGTGTGTCGGTTTGCTGTCGGTTTGCTGAAACTGGAGCAGCCTACATGCTTTGGCTCCATATGTGGGAATCCTCTCTGTTGTTTAAACTGACAGGACTGCTGCTCCGTCCTCGCTTCCTGTCAGTCAAGCAGTTGCAGCAGCTTGTTAGTTTCCCACCAGTCTCTTTCTGCTGCACATGTAGCATTTTTCTGAGGTGGTTATATTAATGTTCTCTAACTGTATAAAAACCTGCATACCAACAATCTTAATTTTTATACATAGTATGAGACTAGATATTCAGTTATATCAACTTGTTTTCTGTTTATATGTGCAAAATCTCTAAATATCAAGATTTGTTTTGGTGTGTTCATTCCATTAGACTTATTTGAGCAATAGATATATGAACAGTTTAATGAGGGGTAGATTCCAAGCTTCCATCAAAGAATATATCTGATTGCTTATGTCGTTAACTTTGCCACAGAGATTATCAAAACAAAAATATTCCTTCTTAATAGATAACTTAATATGTTTTATAAACCAGGGATTGTGAGATTCTTTCAACATGTCGATTTTTCGCAATATAAATTGAGGTTCAGGCAGGAGAGCTTTGTTTATTTCACATTAAATAATAAAATAGAAATTTCTTCCCACAAATTTGAAGCCTCAAGGCTGTTTGCATACAACTTGTTGACCAAACAGCTGTGAAATGTTTGCAATAAAAAGAACATTAAATCACAGCCCCATGGGTTTCTTTTGCGTGGAGTGTTTCTAAGCATAATGATGAAGATTTTGCCAAAATCAAAGAATGCTAAAGAAAATGCAAAAAGCACACAGGTGGTGTGTTTTTTATCAGCCATCATATCTCTTAAATCAGTCCCGTGATGAAGTAGTTTTAGATTTAGCTTTATTTGCACATGCAAAAATATATTTAAAAAAAATAGTATACAGTTAAAACTGTGCAGGAAAGTTCTTCTAAAGGGTCTTCTAAGGCACCACTCCTAAAACATAACAGTAGATGGAGACAACAGAAGACAAGTTGGTATATAAAATGCATTTAATAAATACTTTATGTAAAATTTGTGATAAGCATTACATTTAGCTGTTTATTAAAAGAAATAAAATCAGTCATGGATTCAATTGGTTACAGAAGAGGATTAGGGCTACTGGAAAAAATGTTTAAAGTTTTTACAGATATTGAATTTTATTTGAGTTTAATATGGAAAAAAGTCAGACTTCTGAATCTAATCTTAGAATTCTGACTTTTTTTTCCCCATATTAAACGCAAATAAAATAAAAAATCTGTTTAATTTTTTTAATCATATTTTTAGTTCTTTGTACTTAAAATCATAAAGTTTTTTTTGAACATGAATTAAATATCATTAACCATTCTGAAATATTAAATAACTCTTCATTTTTTCCTCTTATCAGGCAATCTAGATTAGAATGTGAAATGAAAAGACAGGTATTGTCTGCAAAGATAATAGGCAGTGCATTTTTACAAACATTTCATCATTGATATAGATTAAAAATAAAAGAGATCCCAAAATTGAGCCCTGAGGAACCACACAAGCTATTTCTGCTCTAGTAGAAATTTGATTATTCATGGAAATAATAATGTTGTCCTTCATGGAGATTGCTATGCAACCATTTTAAAACATTTTTAGATTTTGCTAAAATGATTTTAGGATTAACTGTGTCAAATGCTTTAGATAATTAAAAAAATACCAAGAGAGTATTTTTTATCATCTAAATCTTTTGCAGCCTTATCAATAAATAAACTCTAAATGGTTTAGGTCTTTGTCTTTAATATGGGGACCCAGGTTTAAACTTCCTGTAGCGATTCCTCCATATGGGAGCAGCTAGAAGTCTATAAATGAACCCTTCATGCAAACTACAGGTGGACATTCCAGGTCCTGAAATTAAAAGGCCAGTACAGAGCTTAGTTCATGCCAAGGCCTAAGGAGTGTCCAAAATTGTCTAATTGGTAAGAGCTCTATTCAAAACTTTG